GCGTATAAGGCTATAAATGTATATATTTAGAAAGTTATTATATATTAAATTTATATATTTATAAAGCTATTCATTCTTCTTTGAATGCATTTTTTTCCTTTACTCCATAAGCTTTGGTATGAATTATTCTTTTTGTTGCTTTATGCAAAATTTATAATTTCCTCTTTAATTATCTCTTTTTTGTTAAAGATGTTAAATTTGTTAATTTCATGATGTTGCATTTTAATGGGTAATTCACTTTGACCACATTTAGAGAAATGATTGGTATACCTGATTTTATTTTTTCCACTTTACGTATGTACGTTATCTACTGTACATTGTTTTTACTTCATTTTCCTTGTTTATCAGGTTAGTTTTCATGCCCTTTTCTCATTATTGTTTTCTCATACTTTTCCATTGCATTTCCTGTCCCTGCGTTTCTAACCAGATACATATTTATCTAATTGTATTTGACAATAAGATACCAATAATGGTAGGTATGGTTCTGTGGGAAGACTTGCCTGTATAATGCATGTACACACTCTATGTTCCTAATTCACTTAGTAAAGGGCACAGCACCTTACAGAAGCAGGATGGCCCCAAAGAACTGGAGCAGTTCAGTATATCTGGGTGTGGTTGTCCCGAAGTCTCGTGGTCCCTTAACCAAGAATATACTTCATCCTGTTATCTTCCGGGGTTAGGGAAAACCTGAATTGTTGCTATGTCTTCACTCTACTACAGTTGGGATTTATCATAGCACTCGACAAGAATTTAGGTAAGCACTCTTGCACTTCTTTTTTAAGGGAATGTTTATAATACTAACTGGGCTCACACTCAGGACAAGCGAGCCCATTCCTTATTCTAGTGGAGAAAGTCAAATCAGTATCCCTGCGGAACAGCTTTATCTCCTTTACCCAGTGTCCTCAAAAGCCATTTCTCTGTCTGTGTTTTGTTTGTTTGTATCTACAAAACCATGTACACAACTGTGTATCTACAACTGTGACCTGAGAAGGCCTGAAGTGGGTGCTTCTGTGCATCTGTATTCAGTGAGGTTAGCACATTGTGAAAATTCATCTAGAGTTTAGATTGCTTTAAGAAAAGCATATAGTGGACGGGTTCTACCATCAGACATGGGTCCAAATCTTGGTTCAGCCAATTCCTAGTTTTATGAACTTGGGCAAGTTCCTTAATGTTCCTCAGTCTCAGAGTCTTCATCTGTAAAAGGGGTAAATATTTCTGAATGCAGTAGTTTGTTGTGAGAATTAAATGAGTTAAGTAATGTAAAGCACCAGCACAATGCCTGACATGTGGTAAGTGCTCAATAAATGATAGTTGATATTCCTGTACTTTGTGATGTATTCATAGGGGCCCCATCTCAGGAGAGAACAAAAACAAAGACTTGGGGACTGAAAAAACAAAACACAATAGAAGAACCGTTTCCTTGGAGGAAAGGAATGCATATTTTCTGGTGATTGTTATATGCCAGGCATGGGAGTTAGACATTTCAGTCACTTATTAAAATGAATTTTATCTTCATACTAGTCCTGAGAGGTGTACATATTACAACATCCATTTTGGCCATCAGAAAACAGCTTCCACCTCATTTCCACAGGAGAGTGGATTGCTTCCTTTGTTAATATAAAGAACCATGCTTTATGTTTCTGGCTTCATTTGTGGAGGCCAGTACTCAGTACTCTGTGTCTGAATCTTTCTTTGCCGTGAACTGGGGGTACCACAGAAACAGACTGTTTGCAGCTGTTGAGTCCAGAGAGGCCAAACCTAGAGTCACATGGTCTTGTGAGGCAGCCAAGAGTGGCAGGAGCCAGAGGGGTGAGCCTATTCCCAAAGCCTCTAATTTAGGTAAAGCTGAGAGTCAAAAGCAAGGAGGTGAAATGTAAGAACCAGTGAGTATAAACAGAAGTGCCGAGAGTCAGGAGTTGAGAATTGAGAAGGTAGCATATCAAAGGCTCTGGAGACAGATGGCTTGGGTTTGAATGCCTGTTAAATGTGGGCAGTTTACTTAGTCGCCCTGTCTTAGATTCACAAGAAGCAGAACCCAAGAAAGGGTTTCTTAGGTAAGTGATTTATTGAGGAAGTGCTTTCAGGAGAAACCTGTAAGGGAGTAAGGGAAGCATGTTGGTTTCAGGAGAAGTTTAGCCTCAGCCTGATATCACAGGGGCTTCTGGTGCATAGATTATACCATAGAAATTGTTCAGCCCAGGGGCAAGGGGCTGGGCAGTTCTAACTGCACATCAGTCAGGTACTGGAAGGTAGGGTATAACCTTCAAGGAATCTCCAGGTGAGGTGACTCCCATAAGCTAAGATTAATCTTCCTGAGTTGTTAGAAGTTGCAGGAACGGGTGCACAGGCCAGGTAGGAAAATGAGGATCTGGACGTGGTACCAACAACACTGCTACACATTCTGAGCTTTAGAGTCCTCACTTGTTCAACAAGGATGATGATTATATAAAAAAAAAACAAAAAACAACAACAAAAACACATTGCTGTCAAGTTGATTCTGACTAATAGTGACCCTTTAGAACAGAATAGAACTGTCCCATAGGGTTTCCAAGGAGTGGCTAGTGGATTCAAACTGCCAACCTTTTGGTTAGCAGCCAAGCTCTTAACCACTGTGCCACAAGGGCTCCACTTACCTCATATGATTGTAGTAAAAGAAAGTGTCTTTGTAAAGTAGCAATGGTAGCTTTTTGAGACTGCAGCTAGGAGGAGTCTGGGTAATTAGAGTGAATCATATTCTTAAAGATTTGTTTTTATTCATTGGAATATGCTTGATACCTGGCTGATTGGGCTAGCTTAAAAGTAAAATGTTAGCAGGATCTATGACTTGAAATTTAGAGCAGGGTGTATTAGTTTCCTATTGCTGGTCTAACAAACAAATTACCTCAAACTTAGTATCTTAACACAAATTTATCTTACAATTTTGTAGGTCAGAATTGACGTGGGTTTCAATGGCCTCAAATCAAGGTATTGGTAGGGCTGTGTTCCTTTCTGAAGGCTCTAGGGGAGGATCCATTTTCTTATCTCTTCCAGCTTCTAGAGGCTGCCCACATGCCTTGGCTCATGGCCCCCTTCCATCTTCAAAGCCAGCAATGGCCAGTCCAGTCTTTCTTACATTGTATCACTCTGGCACTGACTATTCTGCCTCCCTCTTCCTCTCATAAAGACCCTTGTGATTACATCAGGCCCACCTGGATAATCCAGGCTAATCTCCTATCTCAAGATCCTTAACTTCGTCACATCTGCAGAGTCCCTTTTGTCATGTAAGGTAACATAGCCACAGGATCCAGGGATTACGACATGGACGTCATTGGGGAGCTACTGTTCTGCCTACTACACAGAGGTTGGCGGAGCAAATATTTTAGGCTTTGTGGGCCATATGTTCTTTGTTGCAACTACCCTCAGCTCTGCCCTTTATAGCATAAAAACAGCCATAGACAGTATGTACTCAAATGGCCATGGCTGTGCTCTAATAAAACTTGATTTAAGGACACTGAAATTTGAATTTTATATAATTTTTGCAGGCCACAAAATCTTCTCTTTTGATTTTTTTCCTCAACCATTTAAAAGTGTAAAAACCAGTTTTAATTTGCAGGCTATAAAAAAACAAGCAGCAGACCAGCTTTGGCTTGAGGGCTGTATAGGTTTAGAATGTTTTTGTCTTAGCTCATTTAAGGTTTTAAGAAACAATCTTCAAATATTTGGAAGAATTTCTTCACCACACTTGACTGGTTTTCATACATATTGCAAACTTCGACTTTGTGGTTTGCACGATTTCTATCTGATTTATTTTTCCCCATGAGAATTACCCTTCTTTTAATTTTTCATTGAAATTGCTGAAGGTGAAAGAATAATGATTGGTCTTGAAATCTTATTTCTGTATGGATGGCAAATTTTTGGAAACACAGCAAATGTGAGACAAATACTCAGATTGTGTGTGTTAATCAGGGAAAGTAACCTGTATGTTGACATTTCTATTTTTCTCCATTAATCCAGAGTCACTGAGAATATTATTAACATTTTATTGGAGCTGGCTAAATTGGTGAGAATAAAGAGGTGGATGAGAAAGAAATGTGTAGCATAATAAAATATAAATTATTATATTCAGGAGCACCTTGCTGGGGTTAGTTTGCCATCTTACAAAGTATTATGACTACCTCTGAGTTATTGAATGTAATTTTCTCTTTAAAATATGACACTTTCTCTTGCTATAATATTTATGCCTCCTGTTGAACGATAGTTGACTATGAAGCACTCTTTCTTCCTTTTTTCTTAGGTGAAGGGGAAGAGGACCCTGGGAGAAAATATTGCTGATAATGGAGGTCTGCGGGAAGCTTTTAGGGTATGCACTGCTACCTTGGCTGTGATTTTTAAAATTAACCTCTAAAACACTGTATGTGTGCACCTCAGTTTACACCACAGACATGTTCTTGAGGAATTAGATATTGTAGAATTTCTGTAAATCGAATTGTATTTTCCCATTGACACTATTATATAGATAGAGCTGCGTTTCTTTTTTTCTTCTTTTGGGAGTATAAAGTTACCCTAAAGAATAATATTTGTTATTAAGAATCATATATTTAAAGGATAGTTTTCAAATATACATTTATAATAATATCAAAGCATGCTACAAAAATCTCCTCGGGACTAGATTCATACGAGTTTTCCTTGAGTACAGCTCTTTCTATAGCCCTCTTTATAATTATATCCTAAAATACCAAACTTCTAAATTATGGTTACAGGCTAGTGGTTTTCGTATGCTGGGCCAGGTAAGAGTCCATAATAATGTTTTATATCATCCACTGTCTGTGGCTAAACAAGACACATAAGGATAACGTGGAAGGATTTTCAAAAAACTAAGTGCATTCCATATAAAGACCAGGCTGTTATTCTGAGGCTATGTCTTTCTTGTATTCTAGTTAAAATATACCTTCTGTTATAAAATGATAGTGATAGCTTTTCCCCTTACTTGGAAAAATAAAAAAAAAAGTGGCCACACATTGACCTCAAAATGTATTGCCTTAGGCCTCACCACTGTGTTAGGTCTGTTTGTCCCCTGGTAGGCATAGAAAGAATAGCTTCTTTTTAGAGTTTTTTAACATCTGAACCCTTTGGCCCACTTGCTTTGGTATCTATTGAGTGTAAGGTCCTTTTGCAGGCCAACCTACCTCACTATTAAGCAATAATAGCACATTGACTTGTATTTTCAGATGCTTGTTTTCTTTAAGGAAAATTTGACACAATGCATTTTGCACATGGTGGAAGAGATTTGCATTGTGGTTTCTTTCAATAGCTCTACACTTGATGAGAAGGATAAAAAAAGATCATGGCTGAAGATCATCTATTCTTCTTCTCTCACTAGGCTTACAGGAAATGGGTAAAAGACCACAGGCAGGGAGTAGAGGAGCCTCTCTTACCAGGCATCACATTCACCAACAACCAGCTCTTCTTCCTGAGCTATGCTCATGTGAGTAGATCGAGAACTGTGGGACTGTGGCTTGTTCCCTTTAATCAAAGGGGTGAAACAAAAGTTTAGTGGCATAACTTTGATTTTAGCCAAAATTTTATATTGATGATTATTTTTAGGATAAATTTCACCTTGGTACTATTCTATGGTACATAATTAACTGATTGAATCAAGGTTTATTGATATTTTTTAGCAAGTAGGTTATCAACCACATGGTAACCCACTTGATATTTCTTTAGTAATGATATTTCTTCTTAATGTATTTGATACTATTTGTAGGCATGTCTAGTAACTTGGTCTTTTGGTTTTTATGGCCCTGCCCTTTCCTGCATTTCTCCTCCTCCTTGCTCCATTTGCTGACTATCCATTCCTCACCACCTATGGGGGACCCTCAAGGCTGTGTTCTTAACTGTCAAATGAATATGAGAAGACTAGTAGAGCTGGAAACAAAACAAAACAAAACAAAAAACAAAAACAAAAAACAAAGACAAAGAGAGTCATGTCACTCTGCTGGGAGTTTAGTGGGTTTTCTGAGCAGAAATTGAAAGGGATTGATGTAAGGAAGAAATGCACTAAATAAGGCAAAATTCTGAGTTTGAGTCTCTGGTTCATGAGGCAAGTGCCAATTCCTCTTTGTTATTGGTTATTCGCTGTACATCACAAAAGTGTAGGCCCTGTTTTCAAAGAGGTCAAGGGTGGGTTGATGAAGGCACTGATGCATGGGCAAATTTTTCATCGGTACTATCGTTTGTTCCTAAGTCTTTGCATTCACTCCCCAGAAAACTCATTCATTCCCATGTCTTTACTATCGACTCTGGTTAAAGGATTCTCATCTGTCTGTGGTCCTTTACTTCTTATAGATGACATGATAACACTAGATAAAGTACCATTTTTCAATCTGATGTCAACAAAACTAGAGTCATAAACAAAATGACTCTCCTTTTTTGTTTTCCCTTTTCTGTCAACACACCACCAGTCTTTGGGTCTTCTCAGAAAGCCTGGATTCTTAGGTCTTATTTGATTCACCTATCCTCCTTTTTTTTTCTCTATATTTTATTTAATTTGTTGTTTTTTAGAATATACACAGAAAAACATACACCAATTCAACAGTTTCTTCATGTACAGTTTAGTGACATTGGTTACATTCAAGTTGTACAACCATTCTCACCCTCCTTTTCTGAGTTGTTACTCCCTCATTAACATAAACTCACTGCCCCCTAAGGTTCCTATCTAATCTTTTGAGTTTCTGTTGTAAGTTTGATCCCATATAGATAGTTCTTAAAAGAGCATAATGCCCAAGGCAGAACTTTTTTTACGAGTTAAGCTAAACTATTGCGCAGTTTTAAGATGACTTCAGGGGATATTTTTGGTTTAAGGTTTAAAGATTATCTTAGGGCAATAGTTTCAGGGGTTCATGCACTCTCCGTGGTTCCAGAAAGTCTATAATCCATGAGAATTTGAAATTCTGTTCTGCATTTTCCCCCTTTTGATCAGGATTCTTCTATGGACTCTTTGATCAAAATATTCAGTAATGGTAGCCGTGCATCATCCAGTTCTTCTGGTTTCATGGCAAAGGAGGCAGTTGTTCACAGAGGCAATTAGCCACACATTCCATACCCTTCTCCTATTCCTGATTCTCCTTCTACCTCTATTGCTCCAGGTGAATAGAGACCAATTGTGCCTTGGATGACCACTTGTAAGCTTTCAGGATCCCAGTCACTATGCAATGAACTAGGAGGTAGAACAGAAGCACTAAACACATTATTAGGCCAATTAACTTAGATGTCCCATGAAACCATGACCCTAAACCTCCAAACCAAGGAACCAAATCCCGTGAGGTGTTTGGTTGTACATAAGCAGCCTCACCAGCTACTCTTTTTTGTTGTTATTGTTGTGAATGTATCTATCACACAACCTTCGCCAATTCAACTTTTTACAAGTATACAACATATTGCCAACAATTACAGTAATCAGCTGTGCAATACCCTTAATCAATGCGATTTTTCCATCACCATTAACCCCCCTTTTGCCCCTCCCTCCTACCCCTGGTAACCCCTAATAAATTTTGGTCTCTATACATTTGCCTTTTCTTGTCTTTTTATATACGTGAGATCATAGAAATTTGTCCTTTTGTAATTGACTTATTTCACTCAGCATAATTTCAAGCTCCATTCATATTATAGCATGTGTCAAGACTTCATATCTCCTACTAGCTGAGCAGTATTCCACTGTATGTATATACCACATTTTGTTTATCCATTCATCTGTTGAATGGCATTTAGGTAGTTTCTACCTTTTGGTTATTGTGAGTAGTGCTTCAGTGAACATTGGTGTACAAGTCTCTTTTTCAGTCTCTACTTTCAAGTGTTTTGGGTATATACCTAGGAGTGGAATTGCTGGGTCATACGGTAGTTCTATTTTTAGGTTTTTGAGGAACTGCCACACTGTTTTCCATGACGACTGTACCATTTTGTATTCCCACCAGCAATGGATAAGGGTTCAAATTTCCTCACATCCTCACCAACATTTATTATTTTCTTTAATCTTAGCCATCCTACCCGTTGCCGTTGAGTTGATTCTGACTCATAGCAACCCTACAGGAAAGAGTAGAACTGCCCCTAGGGTTTCCAAGGTGCAGCTGGTGGATTCAAACTGCCAACCTTTTGGTTAGCAGCCAAACTCTTAACCACTGTGCCACCAGGGCTACTTGGGGGTGAAATGGTTATCTCGCTGTGGTTTTGATTTGCATGTCTCTGATGGCAAGTGACACTGAGCAACTTTTCATGTGTTTGATGGTCGTTTGAATGTCCTCTTTGGTGAAATGTTTAAGTCCTTTGCCATTTTATGATCAGGTTATTTGTCCCTTTGTTGTTAAGTTGTCAAAGTTTTATGTATATTTTAGTTATTAGATTCTTGTCAGATATATGGTTTCTGAAAATATTCTCCCAGTTGGTAGCTTGTCTTTCCGCGTTTTTGGTAAAGTCTTTTGATGAACAGAAGTTTTAAATTTTTATGAGGTCCCATTTATTTATTTTGTCTTTTACTGTTTGTTCTTTTGTTATTATATTAAATAATCCATTGCTGAAAGCTAGGCCTGATAGTATTGCACTTGCTTGTTCTTCTACGAATTTTATGGTTTTAGTTTGTACATTTAGGTCCTTAATCCATTTTGAATTTGTTTTTGGATATGGTGTGAGACATGGATCCTTTTCATTTTTCTGCATGTGGAGATCCAGTTTTCCCAGAACCATTTATTGAAGAGTTTTTTTCCCCCATCAAATGGACTTAGCACGCTTGTCAAAAATCAGTTGACCATAGATGTATGGGTTTATTTCTGAACTCTCAGTTCTATTCCATTGGTCTATGTGTCTATTGTTATACCAGTACCAGGCTGTTTTGATTACTGTAGCTGTATATATATAT